ATGACCTGTTGGTCATACCCAATGATTAGTGGTTAAGATCAAATGCATCATTTGCTTTTAGTTGTTTTATTATTTTCTACCAATGGTTTTAATAGTCAAAACCCACACAAACCAACACATTCCCTTATTGTTTTTGTTTTTTTAAACCATGAGGAATATGCCCTCGATACAATCAATGACAGCAGACTTTTAGCCTGATGAACCCTTTTGCAGGCCACAACAAAGAACCTGTCAAAGACACACTGATGGACTAGAGGACAGACAGTTCAGGACACTGTCCAAGTTGACCATTCATCCCGAACCATTGAGGTGGGACGGGTGGTTGGTGCCCCTGGCAGAGTGTCTCTGCACCGCAGCGCTAATGAATGACAGACGCTGGACTGGTGGTTTTACAAAGACTGATGGAAAAAGAAAAATGAAGCCAGTGAAACCAGACCTGTGGCTGGTATGTACGACTGTATCTGCCCGCCTGGACACAGCTGGTTCTAATCACCATGACGACTGGTCAGCTGCCCACACTTGCTGATTTAAACCCTGGGATGCAGCTGTGAAACCAGGCGACTGCGTGTTTTTCTTTTGTCTTTTTAACACCTTGTGAACAGAGGATTAAAGCATAACTTTAAAGAGCACTGCAGGCACCAATACATCCTACTTACAGTTCCAAAGCGCAAAAAAGGCTCATCCTCAGGATCCCCCAGCAAGTTCTCCAGGTCGTTTGAGGACAGCAGTATATTCTGTGTGCAAACAGGGGGGCAAAACCACAAAGACAGTTCGGACTATCATCAGCAGAACATTAAGAGTTGTTTAATTCACCAGACTGGATCAAAACCCCAGGAGTCAATGCAGTTGTTTTTAGATCCTCTAATGATCTTGTTATCATGCTTCATAGTAAAAAAACAGGTTGTTGTGTCAAAGAATTGACTGCAGGAGTCTGGATGTCTAGGCTTCAAAAAGGCATCTGGCTTCACCTTAAACACCTTGGTGACATGTTGGAGCCACGCTGTTTACATAAATCAAAGGAGCAATGCTATGAGTTAATGACATGAATTTCTCTGATCTCTCTTTGTTCTTTTCCATTCATTACATTACATTGCATTTAGGCTGACACTTTTTTTATCCAAAGCGATTCATCCTCCTCACTCACCCTCGCCAGGCGGTTGGTGCGGGGGGATCAGAGGAGGCTTGCGGGAGGTCTCCCCACAGCGGGGTGGGTGGTGGCTGCAGTGTCGCTGGGCCTCCGGCGGTCAGGGGGTCCCACATCAGGAAGGTCAGCTGTCGGAGATGACCTGCAGAGGCAGAAACAATAAATGCAAGGTTTAGGCCAGAAAAGACTCACTACCTTTATGCAGAACCTTCATTATCTTACATGTTTCTTGATGCAGGGTTACGTTTTGGACATTACGGGGAAAACCTGTGAGATTTGAGTCACAGAAAAGGTATGTGCACACCCTGAACATTTGGGTCCATAACAGGTAACAAAGTAGTTAACATTATTTGTTTGGCAAATGACAGCACTGACATCGTTTTGGGGATCTATTCATCTAAATAACAAAGATAAGAGATGACAAATAAAAGATTACAATAAGAAAATGAGGACATTTGTTATATAGATTTAACATTAACACAGGGCATATTATATACATACATACAAACGGACTGCATTTGACTTTGCAGTGAAGGTTTTCCAGTCTTTGTTCTCCATCTCTATCTGGCTTTGCACGCCCAACATTCTTCTATTTTGTTTAAGGTACATTGAACTCAAATGTTTTAGTAGAAGATTTATGAACACCATCCCTCTGGTTTCAATTTGCATCTGTGCTAGTTTTCATGCTCATTAAGATTGAATATCTCTGGGGTTTTGGACTGCTGGTCGGGCTAACACAAGCAATTTGAAGGTTTCACCTCAGGCTTTTGGAACTTGAGACAATTTACAGTCCAAAGCATTACATTCCCTAATTCATTGCATTTTCAGACCTAAACACATTGAATCAGAATCATACGTTAGAGACAAAGCTATCAGCTAAATCTGTATCTTACAGCCAAACTATTCATGCAGTACATAGTCTGTGTGTTTATTGTATAACTTTTCATCTATATGTACAGAATCGAAGGACAAGCCTAGACAAAGAGACGTAAGGGGGTTACAGAGGGTCATGTGTTTTTCTGCAGTTCCCATGGTTCCTTTACTAGTCAGTCTGACAACAGGCCAAACATGACAAACAAAGCATGGGCAGACATTTAAAAAACCTCTATCCTCAGGCTGTGTTATAAGAATGTGACGGTGAATGAGAGAACATCTGTGTGTGTGTGTGTGTGTTTCAATTTCTTTGTGTAACCACTCTTGGATTTGGAGTCGATTTGATTTGTAATATCAAATTCAAATGTATTTATTTGTTCCTGGTTCAAGATAGTTGATGCATATCAAACAGGGAGTATACGTAAACAAGACCAATTAGGAACAAATGAAACCCATTTTAAAACAAATCCAGAGACAAGTGGAAGAAGACATTCAGTACATAGTAAAAAAGAACTTACTCTGCAGACTTCTGCCAGAAATACCATACAAATAAAGTGCTCAAACAACAAAAATGTATCCATATGTAAACATGTCATGTATACTAAATGTTGTGGTGATTGAGTTATATTTGAGTCGTCTAAAGGCGAAACACAGATGCCAAAAAAACATACAACATGTATTTAACTATGGCAATCATTTTCATATTCTTCTTTGGGTCCGAAAATGCTTCCCAGTCTTGCTGCAGTATAACGGATACAGTAAGAGTTAAATAAAAGCAGAGTAGAGCGTGTAGCGTTGCCAAACACGAAAGATTGTCAGAGACAAGACTGTCACCACCTCCGAGTGTGGAAGCGCTCCATCCTTGGAGCTTAGTAAAAAAAAGCTGTCGCCAGGGGAAACGAGGCAATGGATAACCCATTTTATCTGGTGCTAAGAACAAATCCAGATGTCACCTCTAAAACGCTTCGCCTCCCCCCTCCATTGGGTTACAGTCACACTGCTTGTTCTAACTGGGAAATCACATCCACTACACAAAGCCAAGTGCATTATGGGCCTTCAGAAAATAGCTTTTCATGCAATTGTTTCAGTTTTGCATTTGATATAAAAAGGCGCTGGCAGGGCAACGGTAAGAGTCTCCTTCCAGCTAATCATCAGAAAACACTTTATTTAAAAGAAACGACATGAGAACATATCAGCACAGACTAGAAACATGATCAGACTAGCGTCGCCCCTTGCCTTTTATCCATGTATTTGGGCTACTACATTTGTTTGACATTGTTTTTGCACATCCAACCGGAGGATGCTTGACCATACACTTTGTATGCATGAGCTTGGCGCTGTTCAGTCAGACAGCCGTAGAGCAAAGAGCCGTTTTGCAAGAACTAAGACCTGTTGTTGTGTTGTTTGTGATAGATTATATTGTTTACATATATATATAATCTGTTCAATATTTAATATTAATATTCCATATATGTATGTATATATATATAATATCTAATTCAACATGTATATTTTCTATTTTCTTTCTTGTTTATTTCAAGTTTTGTTTTATTGTAAAATGCCTCGTCTTTTATGCTGCAACAAAAATAATTCCCAAATTGGGATCAATAAAGAACCATCTTATCTCATCTCTCTTACTGTACAATTCAATTCAAAACCTTTATTTATCCAGGTAAAATCCCATTGAGATCAATGATCTCTTTTTCAAGGGAGACCTGCAGGCACAAATCAGGCACGCTTTTAGAGTCTACTAACAGACTTTCATACCAAACAGAAATCATTGAGACACAATAGGTGTCCGGGCTAAACAAATGCATGCATAAAACCGAGATATACATGTTTCAAGAGTGTCAGCAAAAGATACTCAGTTTGGATTGTTTTCCCGTCGCTCAAAGACATCCAGGTTTGTTTAACAATAAAGGTAAGTAAAGGGAAATGTCTTCATGTTGAACTTGGTCGGGAAATTCATCCTCTGTCAGTGTTTCCTCTATCATTTCATGTACCACTGGTGGTTGGCAGGTAATTGAGGTTGTGGTTGGAGCAGGTAGCATGGATTGCATACTAAAAAACAAACACATGGTTTCTAAGCAGGATGTGCTACACGTCTTTGTGTGTCTGTGATGGAAAGTGAATGGGGTTAGGGCTGGAATACCTACGTCTGACTTAACTCAAATGAACTGGACTTATACACATGTGGTTTATTATTTGGCAACAGTTGTTTAAGATATCATCTTACTATTGCACAAACATCTGTTCATATAATGTGTGTTATCACACACACATGCATTATTGAACAACATTCCAAAGTTCTAAAGTAAGGGATTATAAAACCTGACGAAGGCTTTTCAAAAACTCTATTGTCAGGTCAGCCGAGGGTCTGTCATGAGGTCGCAAGAGTAAAACTCGTCTAGTGAAAGCAGCATCTTGTACATGAGGACCAACAGAATAGATTAAAGTTTGTATGACGTAGGGCTGGGTGCTTTTCTGTGTCTTACCGTTGCTTTACACTGGGAACATGTTGGGAAATACTGAATGTACTCTTCTAATATCCGAGTAGCACATGATAACAAAGGCCCTTACGTAGCTGTGTACGCAACAGGATGTTTGATTACCTAGAAGAGCGTCAGGACACAGTTTTAGGCAACGATTAACATGATGATTCAGCCCCTAGGGAGATAGACATATGACTGTCATGTTTATTGCTTATGTGGTTCTTAGCTGATCTAAACTAAACATTGAATACTGCTTTGAACCCGTATTCTCCATCTTGTGACTGTGATACACCCTGTCTTGTATATAAAGCATGTCAAGGACACTATTCAGGGATCTATTTGTCCCATGCAGCTTTGTGTGTGATGACTACTTCCATTCTTGCAAGGATAATCAATACATGTATCCTGATATTGAAGACCAAGCCGAAAATAATACAAATCAATTGAAAGTTGCTTGACATATTGATAAAGCTACATAAATGCCACTTACTTCAAATGGAGTCTCGAAGGCCTCGATGATGCCTCCGATCATGAGCAGCCCCCTCGGTGCTGATCCCCATGCTGCGGTACACCCAGTCCACACTCTCCAGCAGAGAGCAGTCCACGTACAGCGCCAGCCGCTTGGCAGACACACTGAGCGCCACGTGGTGCCACTTTCCATCAGACAGGCCGCTGACTGGGAATCTAACACGAAGAGATATGGGCCATTATGTACTGATATGTCTATCATACTTTTTATTCTTAGGAAATGTTTTACACTTTTCTCTGGAGCCACAAAAGGCTTTACACAGCCTGTGTTTCAGTTACAGTAGCACTCCCAACAGACTTTTGACTGATGAAGAACGACATGGAGTTTCCCTTAAATATACAAGATATGAATCACTGGACCTTAAATGTCAAAACAGACCCACTTATTAAGTTAGTCACTAGTCCGGTGTGCAAATTAAATGTGTTAAAGTGGACCTACTGTAACTGTATCATGCTATTTTTAAGCGATAGCATAGGTCTCAGATATATAAAAATATATATAAAACATGTCTATGAAGTGTTTTGCTCAAAATACCAAACAGATCACCCATTCTAGCCATGCCTCATATCCCTCTATTTCACTTCCTGTTTCAAAAGTGCTGATTTGGGGTATAAAGCTTTAAAAAAAAAAGATTGATAAAAAAAGGAGGGGTCTGAGCTCTGAGTGTTAGCGATGCTAATGTAAACATGCACCGACCATATTACGTCTAAAACAGTCGGGCATTGTTTCCGACAGCCACGTTTCTGACAGGGCCGTGGGCGTAAAGCCAGCCTACATTCCCGATATTACGTCACATCGGACGCAAATCTGGATCAGCTCGGTTGTACCCCCGTTTTTAGAGATCTGGGTACGGAGGAAAAGAGAGAGGGTTTTATTTTCTGACGCTGCGTGCGTTCTCTGACACACCGGGGACACATCTTTATGAATTAAATACATCAAAAAGTGCATTTTGCATGATAGGTCCTGTTAGAAATTAAAATCAATGTTGATATGGCGTAATTTGAATTAAATACACTATTTAATTTAAATCAGATTTATTCTGAAAAACCGGAAGTTCACTAACTATTAACATAATACTTTTATTCTGAAAATTATTCACTTCCGGTTAGCATTAGCATGTGGCGAAATGCTGCATTTTCAAACCGTGAATTAAAGGTGAAATGACATGTGATGTTGTACACTGATCACACTGGGTTTAGCACTCATTTATTACCGCTGAATAACGTTTATTAGGGAATGTTCAAATAACCACAGACACCAGAATGATGTAATTTAATATATAATATAACAACAGAAAAAGGCAGGAATTGCATTGGACCCGCCCCCCGACGACGCCGGCCAATAGGAGAAGACCTCAGATGACAACAAGAAGAGCAAGCCAAGAATTGACCTCTTCCACCTGCTGACCTGGACTGACCGGTCGGATGAGGAGAGCGCCTCCACTCGCACATTTCATTTTGTACACCACCGCATCTTTTGTGTAATTCAATGCTGTTAACTTTTATAAGCTTCCCTTGACTCTTTTCAGTCTCTCCTGCCTTCAGGGTTCTAGAATACACTAACAGTCCCCTTTAAAAAAGTATCCGAAACCTATAAAAACTGAAATGTTAAGTCAAGCGTGAAAGCTATTTGTTTAATAAGTATACTGTACTGGTTTGGTTTTGTGACCTGCTAAATGTCAAACCGGTTTGAACATTTTTACACCGGCCAAACTCAACCGACCACTCTCCTCAAAACGTCAAGATGGGCTCTAGACCCAACTGGACATTGTAGGTGGCAGCCACCGACAGACATGCTGCCTAAAAATTGCAGAAGGGAAGGTTAAAAAAAAAATACATTAACCATGTGCCAACAGTACAAGATAAGTATAGTATCTATGTGTCTATCTTTTGGCCGAGTTCAGTCCGCTGTCTTGCAGTGATGAATTGCTTCAAACTCTCTGTGTCTCGAAAACAAGAAACCTGCCAAGAGACAGCCAATAAATCATATCACCAAAGAGACAACCAAACACAAAACACAGACAAGCAAATGCACACATGCTGCAAACAAGGCCACTTCCACAGAATGTCCGCTAATGCAGACACATTTGTTTACACTTCAGCCAAGAAGCAGGAAGAGGAATGAGTTGTCCTCAATAACTTGAGTTTGATGTTGTAGTCACATCTGACATCTGGATCTTTTGGATTATGGGTAATTCATTAGAAGTTCAAAGAATGTATTGTTCTTGTTTGTGTTACTGGAAGAGTTTGAGCAATGTTAGCCTATCATGAATAAAACATGTATAAAGCGGTTGATAAATCTGTAACAACATTTGAGCTTGATTTTTATTCGTTTTTGGAAAGGAAAAAAGAAAGAGAAATAGGGATGAGTGGCCTTACTCGTAATGACGCTGTTGTGTTCCTATGAAGATGATGGCGTAGGCGCTGATCCGCAGCTGCAGCATCACTCGGCTGTCGGGGCTGAGCATGGTGAAGACGCTGCGTTCGTCTGCCTGAGGACTCTGCAGCTGCACCAGCAAACTGAACTCTTCTGCAAACCTAACACAGACAAAGACACACACCATTCAGCCATAGACAGTACTGTATTTTCAGGACACTAGGAAGGTGCTATTTTTTTAAATGACCGGTGACCAAAAGCAAAGTAAGCTAACAGTGTTTTCCTTTCCATGCAGTAGTAAGTAGAGACGCTGTATGTGATTCTGTTGCTGCTAACATGTCTGTATATGTTTCATACAAAGTGGCACAGACAGTTACGTCACAGCCACAAAAACAACATGTATGTTGTGCTAACGGTGGAAGCTGCGGCTCACAGTACAGCCACACAGAGGGTTTTAGGCATGAGAATAAGACAAAGCGTGCAAATTGTAACACCGGCAAGTATAAAACAAGCAGTGGATTAAAAACTTTAAAAACAAGGTTATTACAGCTAAAAGTCACTTATTTCCTTTTCGGAGAAAGTGTAAACATTTCAATAGTAATTTTTTGCGGGGCAGAAAATGGCATTTGCTGCATCTCTAGTAATTAGGAAGCTATACAAGAAGAGTGTATGTATGAGGATAATGTAGTTGAAACCATACCCATCAATGAGGAGGTCTTGAAGAGGGAGAGACAAGGTGGAGTACTGTCCCACCTGTAGGACTGGACACCTGCTGTCATCTACAGTCATTGAGGTGTTACTGCTGTTCAACACCTGAGGAGAAAGCTCCTGCAGAATGCTCACCTCATCTGGAGTGAGAGAGGAGGAAACACATGGTAAGCTCAAGAAGCTGTGTCACATTCAAACACACTCACAGATCATTTTCTGCTACAATATTAGAGCAAAGTGAATTATGTGTTTGCTTGAACCCTGTCCCTATTCTACTACAGTGTGTTAATGAACTTGTACTACAACATGTCTTTTTACAAGTGTGATTTATGTTTACAATATTGCAAAATGGGTGTAAAATGAACAATGTAGTGAAACTAGTGATTTAGAGGAATTTCCATTACAGAGGAGAGTGATTAAAGACACAGAACATCATCTTTCATCTATTAAATTAATAACAGCCTTAGTCATAATCAAGGGTTAACGTAACGTTATTTATTACCCCGCCCTAGGATAGGCGCTATCGAAGAGAAATGTCAAGGCAACCGCATGGAAAGTTATATTACTGTTCTGCAGTAGCGTGCTTCCAGCAAGGTGGCTGCAGTTAAAGGAACAACCTTCTTGTTTCAACAAGACAATGCGTCTGTACACAAAGCCAACTTTATTTTTAAAAACAGACCACTGGCCTCAACAATACTATTCAACATTTCGTTTTATTTTCCATTTTCCCTGTACCGAAATCACCTCTACAGTCCACATGCTTACGGCCATTCTGTGTTTCAAGGTTAGAGAACCCAGAGGGCGGACATCTACAGAAACCACACCGAATTGTTCTTCTGCCGGCACTTAGGAAAACCTCTAACACGCTGTGAACAGACCACCGATGGCATTCCTGAAAAGCGGAAAACCACTTACGGGGCCATTGCCTTTAAAAGCTGCAGAGGGCTGCTACAGATTCCATCCTATTTAAAGACTTTGTTCCTTTCCCTTTGGTGCAGCACAGTGCCAAACAATGTTTTAGGGCTCACCCACTGGCTTTTTCTCAAGTCATTAGAAGCAGGAGCCTTTTATTTTAACACCATGCCAACAGGTAGAGTGCCACTCGTCAAGTCCTGTCCACAGGTGGGGCTTTCTTTGATTAACTCTGCACTTTAACAACTCCTCCAGAGGAATATGAATGCAGCTTTTTTTGATCATATATAGAGAAGTGAGTCACCATTCAAACACTGACATGTTGTATACTGATCACACTCTGGGAACTGACTGACATCATTGCCAACTTAAATGTCATTATGTTAGAGGCCATGTTGAGACTAATTAGGCTAACAGAGAAGGTGCTTTTTACTACCACACAAGAGAGAAAGTCCATTTGACTAGAGGCTGGTCATGTTAGAGTGATCTACATGAGCAGCAGGGTGCCTACAGATTACAATAGCAGCACTTTAGCATGGACCCCTGGGTTTGTAACCACCATGAACATGTCTCAGGCTGCCTGAGGTCTTTTTCCAAAGGTTGAACAAGATTTATAGGGTAGCTCACGTAAGATGAAACCCTACTTCTCTCATGCACTTTCACAAATGAATCCATGTCTGTCAGACCCATTTGCTCTTACACTCACCCTGACAACAATGCCAGACGAATCACTGGTCTACAAAGAGCGGTCACACTCCCCGAGGAATGGCAGCGAGCGAACGTATCTGGTGTCGCACAAGAAATTCCAACATACCAGCCTTACAGGAATCCTCAGAGATATATGGACGAGGGCCACTTAGACAGAAGAAATCATTTGAATAATGGTTCTCTTTGCCCTTTTAACCTTTAGTGAACAGCCGTGAAGAATGTGAGATCAATGAGGCTGCTAATCTGGTAAACAAGAAGTCAGTTTTTTAAGTTAAAAAGATAAAAAGGCACAATTAATGACAAACATTCATTAGTCTCAAGCCACAAGCCACGCAGATAATGAAGTGAACATCTGCTTACTTTGCTTAATGTGGATATTTGATAGTGAGGACGACAGTAAGTATGCTAACCAAGGGTGCAACATGCTCGTGTGTAAGGAGCACCGCACCATGAAGATCAATCCACTATTTATAAAAGGGTCTACTTAGCCTGTGAAAACATCATAAGGGCTATTTTTCATTTGAGGATTGTGCTTGAGGCTTAAATGTTGAGTCTTGAGGCATGCTTAACTAAAAGCCTCAGTTACTTTAAAAACATGTCTCTTCTGAGTCCCCCGATGTTATACAAGTTCAACTTTCAATCTGAACTGGTAATGCAATACAAATACATGTTACTACAAGATGGTTGACCTTACATTTGTCATAACACCAAATGATTCAAACTTGTAATTATTAATGATTGCTTACTTTTTTTATAAATGTGAAAAATACATATTAATGAGTAAGTTAGAGCTTACTCATACAAACACACAATAAAGTTACTTCAGTGGATAATTAGTTGTTTGATAATGAGAGCAATAGTGATTTATCAAAGCTATATCAGTCAGTAAAGTGAGATCATTCATTCGGGCAATTAATGTTGGTTTTCCATTAAAGGATCAACGTTTCATGAAAGAAACATCTTGTCAAAAACGAAAGCAGACGCGTCTCTTCTCTGAAACAGACGGCAGACTTGGAAGAAATGGCAGGACTCTGAGGAGGAGCGGATGCAGTTCAGATGATGTTAGCATGACGGTAGCTTTGATTAGTTTCATTAGTTAGCTGACGGCCAAACAGCTGGTGTATGACGGGCTGATTGTGATGCATGACTGACTCAGCTGAATAAATCAGGGGAAGTAACTTCACAAATCTGCCAAAACTGAAAATACGCTCAATATGTTTGAAAGATGTGACTTTTGTTTAATGTGCGGACAAAAAAAAAATACGACTGCAACTAATGATTGCAATATTCTCTTAATTTTCCTCCTTTCTTTTTTTTTTTTCATTTTGAATCTATAAAACACGGAAAACACCCGTGACAAGTTTCCAGAACCCAGGATTCTAGCATCTTTAGATTACAAATCTAATCTATATTGATGTAGACAGAATGACCTCAAAGGTAGAAACATTCATGTGACTCAAAATTGTATGAATACACTTTATTATAGCCTTTCAACTGCAGCCGAGTCATTTATGTTGATTTTCCACCATAGATCATTAATCAGAGCTGTTTAGATAGGCCTCATATGTCCAATCTGCACACCACTCATTTACAAAGCACACAATAACAAAAGCTCCTAACTATTTACAAATTGTGATGAAGCATAACAACTACATTTAACATCAATCACAAAACTCACATACTTCACTGTCATACCGAGAAGTATGGGAAGTGTGGGTTAGCTGATGCGACATTATCTAAATGAGCAGTAATTGATAGCCCCAGGAAGTGGAAAATGTTCTCACACACTTGCTGATGTGGTGCTCTGATGGTCGTTATTAAGCACCACTTGTGTTCATGAAAGAACATTTCATGTGCCAACGCTGTGCCCTCAAGGAAAACTTGGGAACATACTCATGTAGTTTTCTCCCAACACTATAATCAAAGGATCAAGCCATTACCGGGGGAGTGGGGGGAGAGGGGAGGGGCCACCAGTCAGGCCTGCCTTGTTTCTGGAAAAAGTGAAACAGATGTTTGAGTCCTGCATCAGGAGAAAGTACAGTGAAGACTTTCAGGGTCATTCTGCCCTTTGTCCTACCCTGGAGTCAGACAAGCGTTTTGTATGAAAGTCTCAATGTATGCTCATTGTTGAGACTGAGACAAATTGTTCAACAAAAGAAAAAGAATAAAAATTGCAGTCTTATTTAAACAACGGGAAGACTGTACAGGAAAGGATCTACTGTACACATGTATTGCTACACGACAAACAGCACTCTTTAAGAATAACTAATGGTGATGATGTATGACAATAAAAGTCATATATAAAACTTGTTAAACTGGAAATACAGTAACATGTTCCAAGCACTGACTTAAAACCTGTGATAATAATAATAAACTCACCATATGATACACAATGAACTGTTAAAAACAAACAAGCACAAACACAGACATTCAGGGCTGTACTGAATGCATCAGGGTAAGAGTGCTGACGGAACCACACACACACACAGTAAAGCACTTGTCTTCCAGTGTTATCGTGCCATGTTCTGATCCTCGTCATAAATCTGGGACAGTGATCATATGTTGTATAACAAACGGAGGCCTTTAATGATGATCCAGCATTGTCATACAAAAGAATACAAAGGCCTCTAGAGAGACATTCAGTCAACTAATATAGAGGCTCCAGTAATTCTGTGTTTACTCAACTTCAATAGCTACTACAGAAATGGTATGCCGGAACCATTTTCATTTACTCGAGAGTCGAGAGATAAAAAGTGGTTGATGTCCAATGAATACAATTTGGTTTTCGATTACTTATCACTCATTGACCATAATCAAGAAATATCAATCTGGGAATAACACGGCGATCATATGTAACTCATATATGATCTTTTTTAAAGTGGTTTTGTGTTTATGAGACACACATATGGTTCACATGCATTCCGCATTTCACTATGAAGCAATTCACCATGTTTTCTCCACATGTCAGAGAACGTGTCTCCAGTTCTGAGACGGTCTCATAATTGCTGTCTTAAAAGGCGGCAAGCAAGTTTCTTTGTCATGAACGCAACAACATATTTCATATTTGTGTTTTGAACAGGTTTACCATAAAAAAACACAATATTAAGCTAAAGGTCAAATTAAAAACAACTCTAGGCACGTCAAGGGTGGTGTCTTTATGTGTTTGACATGTTTTGAATATTCTTAAAAGCTTGGTCAATGACAGAGTTAATTTACTGCTTGTGAGTTAAGGGGTCATGCATGGCAACAAAGTCAGTGAATGTCGCTCTGAAGCTACCTGTGGTTGGAGTGGGGAAGTTCATAAGATCTTTCTAGAGGGTTATCAAGAATAACTTTTATCCAATGACCTTTTCCCTCTCTGTCTGTCTGTGTATTCTCTTGTTCCGATTAACCCAGCCAAATCTTTTTTCTTGTTTTGTATCTATATCTACGCCGGGAACCGGAGTCGAGGCTGATCCTCTTGCTGTAGTCCTGTGTCTTGGATCCTCTATCCTGAGTTCTGGATTAAGTCGTGGACTTC